AGTATAATAAAAGCAATAAGTGATCACGTAATAAAATAAAGACGAAAATTTAAATAATAGGTGAACATTAACGGATGAATAAAAAAACATGTAATTGTGTGTGAAATAAAATTATTTGATTACAGTCATATTTAATATGGCAAAGAGAAGTTCATCACGTCTCTTTTTTAAACATGTACACTATATAAGAAACGTTTGTTGCCACTGGTCTCTACAAAGTTGAGTAACAGTGGTATTCCTTGTTTATTGACTGTTTTAAATGCCTTGAAATTGCTTACTATCATCACTTGTTAATTACTTGACACACAGTACAAGCTGAATTAAATGTTTTAATCCATATCTTAAGTATATTTTTTCAGTTATAGTGCATAGACTTACTGAAAAGACACCCTATTATGATCAATCCATACAATATTTAAATAATCCTTGGACCAATTATCTTTTTCATTCACATCGGATCATTTTTCCATGTCTCAGTTATTGTTGTTTTTTTATTGGAAATTCATTTCACAATGTATAATTTCAATATACGCTGAATCACGTAATTTTTGACCTGAAACACAAGTCTGTGTATCATTTCAAGTACAATTGAATGTTATTGTTGCTTGTAAATGACTCATACCAGTTGTTATTGTTATCTGGTTGATTTATTATTAAGATTCACTATGTCTGTCTTGATTTGTGGAACAGATATTTTTTTTGTGTTTAAGAGAAATCCAATGTAAATGTAAATAATCATACCCATTAGTTTTGGAATGAGAGAAAATGTTCACTTCTTGTCTTTGTTGTTGTTGTTTTTTTCAAACTGGAGAGTTCAACTTTTTTGCTCATTTTATTTTATTTATTGTTTGCATAGAATACTACAAGTGTGTGTATACATACTCTCTCTCTCTCACACACGCACACACACAAGTATTCAAAGACAAACTTCCAAAGGAGTGTCTTTTTTCAGTTGTTTTGACATTTAGTGAAGTCACCACTTGTTTTATATAACTGACTATACACTGAATTATATATATATATGCGATTGGTCGCATATAATATTCTTGATTATTTGTTGTCTGAAGAAGTGGCTTACACTAAGTCACGAAACGTCAGGAAATTTAATTTTTCTACTCATCGGGATATTACAAATATATTAATTTATTTTTAACAACCTACCCAATGCGCAATTTATTCGAAATCATCAAGTCAAACCTTGGTAATGATACCTATATAATCCATGGTTTGTTATATTTTATTAAGGTATTCTGTAATTTTGTATTAAACAATAAATTGGTCTTCCCCACTTAAGCTTTTGTTCACTTATTGTTCCAAAAAAATGTTCCGACGTTCATCGCTGTACGGAATTGAAACAAATCTGGATCATTACTGAGTTTGTATCATAAGATAGTTTATAAGACCTTTGAAAGTTTACCAAATTTATGTTCATCACTAGTCAGTAAACTTCCTTTTCAGTCTGTTGTTATGTGAATAATAACAATTTTCTAAATATTTCAATGTTTAGCTAAGTCTTATGATAATCCAAATGGTGTTGAGTGAATGAGGAACAACGACTTGTGACCAGTCATCAGATGATCTGAAATAACTGAACCATACTAACTTAGTAATTCCATTGAAGTGTTACAATTAAAAAACTAATTGTTTGTCTCAGCACTATTTTTTCTTAAAATAAAACCAATCAATAAAATTGATCAAGAATTTCTACTACAGTTTCATATACTTAACTGTTTGTTGCGTTTCTGTAGACGAAGGTGGTAAGAGAGTGAAATAATGCTGCCATCATAAACTAATCTATTTTTTCCAGAACATGGTTATCCCTAAGCTACAGGATTATAAGTGATACATTCTGTTATTATTTGTTATAACTTGTGCCCTGTGTCCTTATTAATGTATAACGTAATGATACCGCCAATTAGAGAACAGGGGATTATCGACCGGATCAATGACGCATAAAACAAGTACGAGAAGTCTAGAGTCCTTTATCGGTCCTGCTTCCTGCCTAGCCCCACCCGTTAAGTTCAGAACACCAATCTCAACCTCTGAGATATGAATCATTTATTTGAAACATACTGGGTTTATATATCAACCAAACAGACCACATTGTACTATGAAATAGGAAACGATATTTGTACAAGATTTAGCCAAACGTGGCTGTATGTGTTGGAGATAGTAATTGATAGACTGGGTATAACTCATGAATGATAAATCGTATAATAATAGTTGTTCATAGGTCAAAATAAAGCTTTTGATAAGGGGGACACGCATATGAATAATTTAGTTACTTAACAATTATACGATAAAAAGATACGTATAGTATTGGTTGATAAATGGATCCCAAAAGTTACCATTCATTATCCCCATCGGAATATATATATATAGGCTTCTTGATGTGCTATAATCTGTGAATGGTAAATTGAACCAACTCACATTTTGTGTCAGACTTCATTTTGAATATGACTTACCAACTGATGATTGAGTTTCACATTTTTAAAATAAATAAATTCAATTATGATTGATAGATGCTTTGCAATGATACAATATAAAACTGCTCATAAGACCAAATTATTAATATTATCCCATATGGACTGATAATAGAAAACAAGTTATCCGCCCAGAAAAATAGGGTTTTTTATATAGTAAAATAACATGCTATTGTGCAAATTATTAACATATTAATAATCATGATTAGACGTCTTATGCGTTCGGAGGAAAGCAGTTTATTGGTAACACAATCATTCATACTCTTCATATTTATCTAAATACATTTTTTTACAGGAATACTATTGGCGAGACAGTTTTTGACTTAAACAACCACAAGCAACATCTGAGAATTTGTTGTGAATAGATTAGAAAACTTGAAAAGTTCATTAAGGTTTAAATGACTTCGGTAGTAAGGAACAAAATGTTTGTTTGGCCAGTTTGTTATAATCATTTATAAAATATTTCTATTTAAGGTATATAGGGAGTCATTTTGAGCACAGCAAATAACGTTTCCTAGATAGACTAAATGGGATAATGACATGATTACAATCTATAACAATATATAACAGCTAAACTTCATATTTCCTAATGAATTCAAACATCTCTTACATATTTCTCATCAAGTAATAATTGTAAAGCCGCGTTTTATGTATAAAGCCAGTGTGTAGATATACGGAAGTTTTACAGCATATGATATGCACAATATTTCCCATTCCACTTTTTCTTAACAGAACTGTTTGACTGTTCCGCTTTAAGTTATTGATTTAAACGAGTGACATTTAACTAACGGGGCAGTACTTGTAAATTCTATTCCACATATTTTAATTTGAGCAGCTGGTTAGTATTCCAAGAAGTTCCACAGTTTGAAACCTTGGAACGGATATTATGAAAGTTGAAACTGGTTTTTTGGATTATTATTAATTATGATTTTCAGTATGGGGATTTGTAGAAATTGTAGTAAGTTTAACAGTTGAATTCATGAGTCGATCTGATCTAGATCACCATCGTAAACTCGGAAGTACTGGACATCCGTTCCGTCCTATAATGAGACTCCTCATTAGTATGTATTCACAATTCCACATGTGGGACTCGAAACTCGAACCTCTGGTCTCGCGCACAAACGCTTAACCTTCAGACCACTGAACCCGGTATCGAACAGTGTTGGTTTCTAACTTCAATCGATCCATGATCTTGTGCAACCGTTCATTTCTTGTCTGAGTTGGATAACTATCTCACATACGACACGGATTGGACTCCACTGATAATCATAATTTTATTGCATGATTACTAAGGAACTAGATTACTATGTAAATATATATCCCATTCATCATGAGTTTCCAGTTTACTCATTAACTACTGTTATACGATTTATTATTGTTGCTAATTTATTATTTACTTTCTTTTGACAGTCATTTTCGGCTCACTGACGTATAATTGTTATTTTTCACTTGATGGTGTGGTGTGGCCTGTTATGTCTGTTTATTAACCATGTTTGATTGAAACATAGATGTAGTAGAGACTGATTGTTACTTCTGGACTCAAGACAGGGTATAGAGAAGAGCTAGCGAATATTGGGTTATTAGGAACTTAGCTGGCAGCTCAAGGCTAATAGTGCTGGGTGTCAAGAACACCAAGCTCTAGAGTAATTAGTAGATGCAAATTCAATGAAATTAAAATCAGAATTGTTGTTGGTGACTTGACACATGATTTTGGTCAGTGGTCACAAGTCAAAATAGATTTGAACCCCGAATCTACTATACTTCGATATGGACCACTGAATGATATTAAAATAATTAACGTGATATTTATTATTTTCAAAGTTGAATTCACGAGTTGAGACCATCATTGATGACCTAGAATCACTGGACTCGTGGATTCAACTTTAAAGATACCACAATCTCCATAAATCCCTATCCCCCCAAATGCCCTGGTACGGCCGAGAGTGGGGAGAGTCCACTCTCCCTCTCGAAATGCTCTCACATGGCCACGCGTATATAGCCTCTGCCAAGGGAGTCCTACTCATTGCCTTCTCGTGGCGGGAGGTGTTGTTCACGAAAATGAGAGGACGAAACGCGGATTTCCGGCGCTTTAACCGGGTCGGTGGACATGGAGAGTCCATCTAGGGGAATTTGAAAACCCTGATTCCAAACCAATGGTGAACATGGGCTTCAGTATCCTAAAGGAACAACCAAAGGAACGAACCAATTGTTGGTCACCGGCTACCATGGGACTGCATCTCCCCACGATGCTCCACTGCCTTGTGGATCAGACTTTTAGGTCGAACGCTCCGTGTGGCCCCCTATGAAAACCACCTACTTCGGTTTGGGCACCGAGCAGTATCACAGCCCTCACACATATCAAATGAGATTTGTGTGGCGCATATGTATTTGTTGCCTCCTTGTATCAATATCTATGTGTTAAAATTAAATAAATAAATACAAATCCCTATAGTGATAATATTTATTAATAATAAAGTGTTCATAGTGTTAAATCTTATTTTTTTTTCTATTTTCTAGGTAATTTCTACCAATTTATTATACTGATTATGACAAAAATATGGATTATTAATTTACAAATTAAACAGAATACACTAATGTTGTCCTTATCAAATACACATAGGTAATCCATATTCAATTTCAATGAATGGAATTAAGTTTAATTCAGACCAAAATGGTAATCAGTATAATGATAATAATAATTACATAGGACTATTGAATAATCATGCTACATTATTTTCTACTAATTATAATAATACTAGTTTATTAAATTTTGAACATATTTCTGATAACATTAATGAAGTTAATGTAGGACCATTATTAAAACAATTACAATGTGTTATTGGAGAATTAGTTGAATCAGAATCAGTTTATTTAAAAAGTTTATGTGATATTGAAGAGGTAAGTTATCATTGTGATATTTTGTTGTTGTTATTGTTTAATTGAACTTATGTGTGATGATTTTTTCTTTCGAAAGAGAATTCTTTCTGTTGTAGTCTGGTACGTGTTTCTGACATTGTTTGGAATAGTCAGTCAGTAACAACGTAGAACTTCGTACGTATGTAGATCAATTTGAGTTGCCATACCACATTAGCACACAGATGCAGTTGCCGATTCAAATTTCATAGTGGTAGAGGTGGTAAGAGTATAAGCAGTAATCGGAAAGATTAGGGTTTGAAGATGTTATTCAAGGAGTATAATACAGTGAGATAAATTTGGAAAGAGAAACAAGAAAGGGATATGAAGAATTCAGAAGATTAGAATTTGGGAGTACACAAGGAGTGGATGTACCTGTGCCATTGCAAACGATTTTGAGCCATGTTATTCAAGGTATCCAACCATCGGTTGCTATCATCTCGCGGATCCCAACTGGGTAGTTTACACCTACCAACATGGCTCAGTCTACTTGTCAGTGACTTCATGGATTTGTGCCATGTTTTGGTCTGACCGCCCCTAGCTTTCTTCCAACCTACTCCTATACCATTGAACATCGCACGTCGGGGCAGTCGGTGGTTGGGCATACGTTTCACTACTTCATCAATTGATTTGCCATCCTTACCTAGTACCCGTTTTCTAACAACTGCGCTTGGAATAGTATACCTCTAGATATAACAGTTTTCAATACTTGACTGATTCCGTCTATGGAGAGAGAGAGAGAAAGGATAAAGACTATGGCGTATCAATGTTTATTTCTGAAAGCTGATCAATAATATTTACTGCTTTTGTATATTTTTAGACTTCAAAAAAGAATTACGGGTAATAAGTAACGCTGACTGAATAAATAATTCATTGTTTTTATTTAAGTATTCTATAAATGATACTGGCCGAAGAAAATCATTTTGAAACCAATTATGTAATAGTCATTCACATACAATCAAGTAATTCAGGTTTATTGATACAAGTATAGAAAAATTTAACTGGAATTACAGATTTTAACTACTTGTAAAACTCTTCGTTTTGTTTTTTTTCCTACATAGCTAAATATTATTAGGAGTTATCATTAAAAATATCTGGTGAAATAAACTTATCAGAGTTTCGCTGAGACCACTTTCAAATAGTATCATATATAAATTCTAGAGATTGATTTCTGTTATTCAGAATTTGTATCCAATTGATCTATAATTTCAAGTATATATTGTACTTAAAAGTTAATGATGATGATGACTTTGACCATTGTAAGATTGTAATTCAATACTCAACCTTAATCATGTCAGTTTAATAAGGTTATCAATTTTACCACAGTTTAGTAGATGTTATACATCATATCACCTATTTGCTAACTTGCATGGAATCCCAAGACTTAATGTGATGTAAGTAAACTTAACAGATTGCAATAAACTTTGTAAGTATAGTGTTATAGGGATCGTCGAATTTCATTGAAATCCTGGAAGCACTGGATAGCCATCTTGTCCTGGTTTTGGACTTCTCAAAAATCAGCATCCACAACCTCACACTGAAGAATTGAACTCAGGTCCTTCGGTCTCACATAAATAACCCTATACTTTCTATTATTATGCGCTGGTGACTAGCTTCGAGAGGAGATTCTCAGAGTTCTAGTTAAAAGCCGTGACCAATAGAGTTCAACAGTGTCAAGTGAGAGGCAGTTACCCACCAAAGATAACGGGAGATGATCGCGCGATGTTGAGAACTAATTGAAGTTAGATATTGACATCATTGGATCCTGGCCCAGTGGTCTGGGTGTTAAGCGCTCGCGCGTGACTTAAGCTCCTGTGTTCGATTACCGCTTGCAGGATCATCGATAGTTATTGCAACTTGTGAGATAGCTCAACAGGTATCTGGTTATATTTATTCAATAGTTGAGCTGTTGTCAATTACGTCATTACAGTTTCTAATTAGTTTATGTCTTCTAAATTTTATATCTCTAGTCTCTCTATAAAGTTAAATCACTGTATGCGTATGTGTATTTCCAATTAATCATGTTTATGCGTTAAGATATTCTTAAGATGTTAATATTTCTTATATAGTTTTCATCATGGACTGACCACATTAACTGAAGAGTTAAGATTTAAGACGGTGTTTCACAGTGATCTTAATATCTTTCAATCAGTAATTTTGGATGTAAAATAGTATGTTTCCTCGGGTTTATTTTTCAATAGTCCTCAAGATGATACCAACTTGTAATGAAGAATAAATTCAAATCTATCAATCTATACCAATACCCTCTATTTTGATAATTTATGTTTCGTTGAGATTGAATGAATCAAACGATAAACTGTTTGATTAAATCAAACCATACAGTTAATCATGATGTTTACAAGTATTATAAATAGTCGAAAATGAATCTTATTTGTTCTATCTAGGTACATTACAAAGGTTAAATTAACTTGAACTAATGGTTCATCGAGTATCCACGGCTCCAAGTATTATTGTTTATTATCCTAATGTGTTTAATTTGTAGATTTACATTTATCGACATTTAAAAGTAAATGATTTATAGTTTAATTTATAAGCAAAAGATATTCACGTCAGAAATAAAATTAATTGTACATTTTTATTGTTTTTGATCATATGGATCATAAAAATTCTTATCTGACCTAAAGATTTTACTTCCTAATTAATCCATCGATTAACTTAATTAACTTAATTAATTAGTATCTTATAAAAGCTTCCATGCTCTTACCTCCTTTTCCATCCTAAAGTTAGTTGTTTCCTATAAGCATATAAGAGGAGATTAAAGAATTCCTACTCCCGCGTAATTCTCAATGTGATCAGTGGACGTGTTTCACACAATTTTCAGACAAATTAACTGAATTTCATCAGTATGTGTCCAGTTGCTCATTTACAGTCCATGAAAGTTATTTATAGAGAAAACCTAGTGGTTTTCAAAATCGTTTATTGTTTTAATTTTCAGAGATGGGTGTTATGACTAATTATTTTTATCAGGTGATATTATAATCTAAATAATGACCGGTTATTTCTATCACTGGATCGTCAGTAAGTAGACTGGTCTTTTGACATTCAAGAGATAAATACCTCATCTTGATACATTGAGGCTTCCCTCTAATCTCTATTGAATGCATCAACATGTCGTAAAGGGAGATATTGAACAATCTTAATGGTTGATACTGTAAAATATTTCATCGTAAGAATTGTCTTGGGTGGACAGTTATGGTTCATAATAGTCAAGTGTTCTACCCAAACAGTATTACACAATGAAGTTTAATTGTTCTTTTATCAACTCATTTTCAAGTCATAACCCCTGTATTGTGAACTTGACGGATAAGATAAATCTGTTTCTGCATATCTGACCCAAGATTTAACTAGTCAATCTTAAAGAATAAATTCAAGTGTATCCCATCCATTTCGACATTATCAACCAGACATAATATCGTAAACTGATGAGCAGTATAGATTTAATAATTTCGTAAATAAATATCCATTAGGTCAATAAGATGAATACATTATTGTTTCAAACAACACATGCATTCAATGTGTCGAAATTAAGGTTATGTAATTTCTTTTCACATTATCAACGTGAAGAGTTGATATATAGATAGTTGTTAGTGTTATTCACACTTGTTTTCGTTTTGTTTTCTTCTACATAGGGTTACTTATTACGTTTAAAAACAAACCAAAGTGTAGATCAACAATTTCTCGATGTCGTCTTTCATAAAATTTCAGATTTACGAGTTTTTCACGCGTAAGTTTATACAACTTTTTTTATTAACTTTGCTGTTTTGAGCATCTGTGATTTCGTTTTTAATATGCTTATCTATCGGTAAAAGTATGGTCTATCAACGGCCTTCAGTTCACCGATTAGAATTAGGATAATGCTTTACGTATTTTGCACGAAATTTGTCAATAATTTGGTTATTAATATGCTCGAAATCAATAGAAATATCTATTATGCAGCCAAAAAGTGTATTTTAAATTATGCTTTACTGAAATTACAAAACATAGCTGCACGTGTGACAGTTGGTGTGTTAACGGGCTTGGTGTAATTGGTTGTGTAAGGAAGAGTGTTTAGTGAAGCTGGATAATATTCTCCCATTTTAACTCTTACTCTAAATGTTAACCTTAAATTTCTGAAGTTTGTAAATAAAAGTGTGGTAAAGCATTGCACTGTAGCTGGTGTCAGTTCGTGAAGAAAACCCTGACTCTAATTTATCTACCTGACTCGAAACTTCAGTTTAACTGTTAATACCTAGGCCTAATCTTTTTGTATTATAACTGATGTCAGCTGATGATGAAGACTCTATGAGATTATAACCTGAACCTATGGAGGTGAGAACCCTAACTTACAACACTAGCTCGACTGCAAATACGTAAATGTGACCTTTTTCCTTTTCTGCAAGGAATAATTTAACATGTGAGTCATAATAATTCAGATCAAAGCTGTTATTTTGTTGGTTTTTATTTTGAATTGCTTTATAATTAATCAGCGTCTTCTGAGTGGTTGATAAGTTGCCCAATGTCGTCAGTATAAATTTCGATAGAGCGATAAATAGACTGAGTTGATCTGAAAAATTTGATGTATTTGCGCTATACATTTCCGACAGTCTGGTTACACATGTACTCGTCAGGGAATCTTATATAAAAATTAACAAAGGTTAATTAAATGAAGGCTCGAGTAAACAAAGTAATAAAGGAGAGAGAAAATCAACATGGTATACAAAGAATAGGAAATTATTGCATTACCCTAGTTCATAAAATGACTTATGGAGAACCAGGGTAAATTCAAGGTTACGACAAGTTGTTTTTGTACACGCAAGAGGGGTATAAATTTACGAATAACTAAGGTTTCTATAAACCTGGCAATTCGTCCTTGATAATTTCAAAACAATGTTTTAAAAGCTGTATTTGCGATATCGTAATGGCTTATGAAGCAGAAAATAATGACCAATTGCCCTTTTTAGACATACTTTCGAGTTGAAGGGAGGATGGTACTATAAGACAGTCAGTTTGTAGGAAACCAACTTGGACGAGGCAATACTTAAATTTCCACAATTTCTGTCCATTGCAATACAAGCGAGGCTCGGCTAAGTGTCTTTAATAGGATTCAAAGAATATGCATTACAGATACAGTTGTAGAAGACGAAAAAGTGCTGACTTACACTAGTGTCAAATGGTTATCCACTAAAGTTTATAAGTAGGAGCAAAAATCAATCAACATTAAAACCTCTTGTTTATTCTGCTCCGAAGAAAACTGTTTATATCTGTCTACCATTTACAAGTGAATATAACAGTATAGTTTTCAGAGAGATTAAAAGCAGCCATCGAGAAAACCTGTTATGCTGTTCAATTGGTTGTGATTGAAAAGTCTAAGCCCATTATTCCAAATAGACCTAGACAATGCACAAATGATTACGTCAAATCCCATTGTATTTACCAATTTACATGTTTGTATGGACACACATACATAGGGAGGAGTAGTCGAACAATGCAATCAAGGGTGATCGAACATGTGCCTAGATGGCTTCAAAACCAATTAGTGTCAAATGTTCCGATCAACATGGAAAGTAGAAAATCATGTTCATAGATAACATATAATTGAAATGGGGTACAGAATTAACACTAATATTGCCTTTAAAGTAATTAGTCCCTTTTATAAATTTCGAAAGGATAATAAGAAGACGGAGGTGATCTGAAAAATGTGATATATTTGCACTATACATTTCGAACAATCTGGGCACACATAAACTTGTCAGGGCATTTTATATGAAGATTAATAAAGGTCAATTAAATGAAAGTTCAAGTAAAAAGTAACAAAGGGGAGAGAAACAAATTCACATCGTATAGAAGGAATAAGAATGTGTCGCGTTATCCTAAGCCATGAATTAAGGATTACCAGAGTAAATTCAAGGTTACGACAAATTGTTTTTGTACACATAAGGGGGGTTTAAATTTGCTTCAATAAAATTGAGAATTCGTCCTTGGCGATTTCTATACCTTTTAAAAACCGTATTAATATCGATTTTGTGTCCCATTTCGATTATATGTTTTGTTATCTATGAACATGATTTTCTACTTTTCATGTTGATCGGAACATTTGACACTAATTGGTTTTGAAGCCATCTAGGCACATGTTCAATCTAGAACAACATATATAAGCGAACAATATTGTTTTCGATTAGATCTTCATCAGGCTTTACTCTAATATACAGTAATATTTATATTCATATATGAAATTATTAAACCGACCAAGGTAGTTTATGAGTCTGATAACAATGGAAACAATTACATAATATGTGAAAAGTACAAATTGATAGTGTGATGACAGGTGTACTAGGTTTGATAAGAATAATAAAGGCTCAAACCCATGTTACATAATAGGAAATAGGTCAATGATTAGAAAAATATAGGCAGTGAAATAACATTGATAAAATTATAAGATGACGTAATAAGAAATGTTCAGATAATTGGACCGTGAAACGTATATTTTGAGAGAAAACAAAATAAAGTGGTAGGAGGGGGTGAAGAAAATTAATAAATAAATTCATTTATTAAGGCCAAGGGAGAGATAAGGGTGTTACAAATTTCTTCTGAACACAAAGACTTGGCTTGTTGGCTCGAATTCCTATAGCTTCTGCTGTGTAAGAGACGAGATCGAACACCATAAGGGAAACTAGTGGGAATACGATAAATAATTTTAAATGACTTGTTTCTGTCCACTACATGACCGCTATCGATTAAGTGTGATAGAACCGAGCTATGTATTGTCTTGACGTTACCTTTTCCTAACCACGAAGGGAGGTGTTCACCAACTCGTTGGTTCAGTTGCCTGATAGTGCACCCAATATAGGTTTTTCCACAGGAGCAGCTGAATTCGTAGATACACACTGAAGGATAAGTTACCTGGTTATGCCACTTCTATGTGTATTGTAATGGACAGAAATTGTGGAAATTTAAGTATTACCCCATCCAGGTCGGCATCCTGTAAACTGATGGTTTTAGGAAAACTTACACAGTTTATTATGTATTGGGTTTAGCTATTTTACTAGTTCATATGTAGATAAACCACGCATAGATAATATTGGTTGTAATGGATTATTAATTTTATGGATTTTAGGCATTCCATATAAATTCAGTCAGTATAGTTTACCTTCACTTATAGGTCTTCTTCTTGACGAATTCATGTTGCCATGACTTGTGTTTATAAATTTTACTAAATACACAGAAAATTTATGTCAATTTACAGTGATCTGTTATTAGTGATCAGTTAGAGTTGTGACTTCCAATTATTCACTTTTATTCTTTCTTTATTTTTTGGTTAATTGTTGAAATATGTATGTTATTAGTGTATCATTTAAACAAGATTGAATGAATTATAAGTATCATTATCCAGGATTGAAATTGATAGTTTCAAATAAATTGACTATTAGATTGAAAGTTAGTCATAAATTATCCTAATGAGTAGAAATTTTTTTATTCCTAACGTTTCGTGACTTATAGGAGGACACGTAGGACAAGTTAAAATAGTAGTACAAAAGAAACAAAGCTGAATATTTCTTATTATAATCAAAATCAGGTCTGTACATATCAATATCATGTTACTTTCAGTCAATCTCCACTATTTTTTATATGGATAGTCAATCAAAAGTAGTCTTATGAAAGGGTCATTTAATGGCAATCAGAAATATACCACCTAAAGGTCAAGTACACTTTAATTGGGTCAATGGGTCAATTTCCGAAAGATAGAATAGTATATATACGAATAAGTATTTGTGCATTTCATTCAGTTGTCTAATACACTTTCTCGCTCACTCTTATGTTCTTGCTCAAGGGGTTAACGCGTAACATACTGTGTATCAGTACCGATATATCGAACCATGCACGTCACAATTTTTCATACTCATTGTCATCCATACAAATAAATACAGTGATATGTTGTACAGAATCAATTACCTTGTGTTATTTGTTAATTTACTCTGAAGAAATGAGTTAATTAAGTTACAAAACATCAGAAATACAAATTTCTACGCATTGGAATATTACAAAAAGAAGTTATTAATATTATTATTTATAAACCTGTATGAGGAATTAGAATTATGATTTACAGTTGGTGATTAATGTTGGAAATTAGATTTTGGGTGTTTCATCACGAATTGACATCAGTTATAATGCCAAAAAAGCTATTTATCCAAGTGATGAGTGGATTTGGCGCTAAAATCCGAGACCTGTTATCTTATGCCTGATTGGTTCGTCCAGAATCGGTCACAGTTAATCAAATGTGTATGGTATTGGATAAAGCGAGTACTCATAGAAACTGATTTGTGGCATGGTGTTGATATCTATCATGCCGAATTAAAATTAATCTTCCTTTACAAGTTGTATAAGTTGTACGTGTGTGTGTTGCTTTAGTGACTCAGACATTAGATGTACATCTATTGGTGTAATACGATTGAAATTTACTTCATTCTAGGAAAATCTAGAGTAGTCAACGTGATTGACGCATCTCTAAGTATTATGTTTCTAAGTTGTATGCTTTTTCTTATAAATTAATAGTATGTTGATTTATGTATTTTTTGAAAACCAATTTTTAGACAACTTCATTCTGATCTTTATTTGAATCGTGAAAATTTTATTCAACTTGGACGAGTATTTCTAATTAATGCAAAACATTTTGAAGAGCTCTATGTGGATTTTTGTCTTAATTATCCAAAGTAAGTGTTTTTTTTCCAAATAGTTTTCATAATTTACAGTTGGTGTCCTTAAGTTCTTACAAGGACACTAGTCGATTTTCTAGAGTCTCTATATTGTTCTTGATTATAATGGTTAGTATTAAGGGATTAGGTTTAAGGTTTTTGATCATCAACTGACATTAGTTGATACAAAACTTGCTCTTTGACCATTTAGATGAACGAATCTCAAAAATCCATGAAATACTATACTAATATGTTACTGTTTGCTTCAAGATTCCAAGCTCCAGGTCAGGATTTGAGTATAATGTTAATTTTCTTGTTATGTACAGTTTTGCAAAGAAAGAATTGAGTATTTGATGCATTTAATGATATCACTTTCACTATATGGTGGCATTATACTAAGATGTTTCTACTGCTCTTCCATACCTTGGTATTTGAATTTTGTTCAAAAACCTAGAGGTTGTGTTCTCAATTTTGACCAACTCTTCCCTATACTATAATCATACCAATGAAGCAAGCTTAACAAGTACATATACTGTGGTGCGTGCTACTTATATCGATGTAAGTAGTATATCACGCGAGTTAAAAACGCAATGTCTGGCAGCAGAAGATGGGGGAAGGTCAAGAAACGAAGAGCGACAACACAATGCAATTTGTAAGGAAACGCATGAACAATGAAATGTGAGACAATGGATTGATGTTTGCAACAGGAACAGTCCAGGTCGATATGATGCATTGATATTTTGCAAATTAAGGATTTACTATATGGTTTTTCTATTTTACCAAGTAACTCTGTAATTTTGTGCTAAATACAATTCGGTTGTCCTCACCTGTGTTTGCCTTCACTACAATACTAGCTATCTGTAAGACAACTGGTTAAAATATATCAAATAGGTCAATTATTATATCTCATTGAAATCTCCAACTGCAGTGACTAATAATTAGTACTCACAGTAGTCTCCTTACTTCATGTTTTAATATGTTTGTTTTTCTTCTTATGATGCTGTTCAAATTTCTGTTAACTCGTATTAAAAGTACATCATTGCATAAACTCCCGTTTTTTGTGGAACAGGAAGGTACCTGAAATCTTACGTATAATGAGCAGAACTTTAAAATAGTTTCCATATAGTTTTCGCAATGATTCTTCGAAATTGTTGATTGATATTTTTCTTATTAGTGTTGTAAAAAAAGACAAGGGATCAAGGTCTATTGTGAGAAATTACAAAATGTTTAGATAATCTGTATACGTAGCCCTCGGCTATCTATCTGTATCTTATCTGTTTTTCTATGCAAACTGTCTTCTCTTTTGGTTTTCAAGTGTGTTCAGCTGTTGAATTTTCTCGCATGTTGTTTATTAGATTGATTTAGATTAAGACCTCCAGTTTAAGCCAGTGAAATCAACTGACCACCCCTTGTCTTCTGTATAGAAATAACAAAACATATCATGAATAATTTGCATTTTTCCCACCCCTCCCTATATTTCATACATTCTGTTGTGGTTGGTTACTGCTGTTTATTTTTGGGGATTATGCAACTTTGTGCGGTGTTCCAGCCGTGTTAAGGTTGTCAAGCCCTATGCAGTGACGCCTAACAGCTTTCCGGTAATGGTTTCCGTTTCTCACGGTTCACAAACCTATCGCATTTGGGGTATACGTACCCTGTAGGCAAATGTACGTTGCATGCACGCCGGTAGTACGCATGTTTTCACTCATGTATGCCTTGGCACACATATAGATATATTCGCCCTCTTGGGAGGGTAGTTGGTCACCTCTCCCTTCGTACGTGTTAGCCGCAACTGACTGTCACTTATGCATTTATTGCGTATCACTCTTACATCACTTACATTCTTGTTGAGAGTCTGGCGCGTGCCCTTTGAATTTACCTACATACACAATTAAACATGTCGAGATCATGCAATTCATATACATAAGCATACACATAGATCAGCCCGCAATGAATCCGGTTTACTGCAGATTGGGAGATTAGTCCGTTCTCGTTGACCACCCAAGTTAGATAGAAAGGTTTCCTCTACCACCCAGCAACACCGTGGAGAGGCCTTAGGTCAGATTTTTCTCTATACAATTTTGTCAGTTTTTCGTTACTCTAACCTGATTTTCGTCGCTGTGGTGTGTATGTGTGTTCTTGTTTATAAAAATATCTGTGAGTGTATGTATGTTTTGAAAGCTTAATCAATGCCCGAACTAGTTATTTGAAGTTTGCCTATATTCTTTATATGATAAAAATTATTTTCCTGGAAAAGATTTGTTTGTATTTATTTGTATTGTTCATTGGATTGTATTTTCCTGTATACAGAATCTATAAAACAGAATTATTTTAGACCAAATTGCTTGTCTTAATAATTTTCTATATGTAAACATTTAATTGAATAAAATAGTGATTATTTATTTCGTTAACCTCTTATTATTACTATCATCATCATCATTACGATGGAATCATTTCTTATTCTAAAGAAGATTCTCTTTCCAAATCACTTCTAACCGTAACTAGGTAGATACCATCGAAATTAATTTGTAAATTGTATTTACTTATCGTTATTCTTTTTTATTGTTTCTTTTATATTTTGCCTTTTTCTCTCCTTTTATTACAAACAAAAGCTTATCGACTAACTAACTGACGGACTGTCAACTAAGCTCAGCATGAACACATCTATGGCCAATTAGAATAAGTTGTCAAATTTTTCGTCTAGTTGTTTCGAAAAAAAGCATAGCTTTTTTGTCTACTCCTTATTGATCGATTTTAGCATATACAAGGTCAAATGATGTTACCTATTGCATTCCGATTGATCGGATTTTTCATAAGGCTTTTATCATTTATTTTTTACTGGTAGGTGGGGGGTTTGCGTTTAGTGTAACTGTTTCTACCGCAAACCACGTGACTAACCAACAAGTATAATAAATGGTGTATCAGGTGAGACTATAATTTATAGATGACCTTTGAGCGATGGGTGAGACTATGCTCTACTGACGGCTTTAATTGAACAATTAAACCTAAGCTAACCGATGATCGAATTTAAAATGCTATTGCGGATAGCATGTTGCTATAACTCATAATTTTCATTTTATTTCACATTTCGGAAGAATTAGATGATGTTTTCCTTGTCGAATGAGCTGTTGAGGTCAGTGTGTTTGCATTAGGAATGTTAAGGTTAAGAGCTATGGTTAAGAAGTCAGGGTTAAGATGAAGAGTTAGTGTTGAGAGCTAGTGTTAAGGAGTATTGGGGGAACTTCAACCACTTACTACGGTCGAAATGGGGTCATAAATTAGTGTGAAGAATTGAGACTAGAACTGTCATGGTTATAAGTTAGGATTAGGAATTAGAATTAGGTTTTTTATCACTATTTTACATCACCTATAATTCTAAAATGTAACTTACCTATATGGATGAATGAATTCCGTGCCAATCCAAATCAAAGACTCGCAATTTTAAATCTGATTGGCTCTCTCTGGTCAAGAGGAATAGTTAAAAATGTGTAGTAACTATTTATAACTTATCAGGCGTTTCAGTTACAAATCCATAATTTTTGTATTACCATTAGCCAAAGTAAGAAATGGATAAATGACGGTAGAGAACTTTGGCAGCTGTCCAGAAATACACAACTAAACAATGGTTTTCCAGGTGGTTTCATCATTTGAGATGGCTGGGACACGTGTTACGTATGCCCAACGACCGACTGCCTCGACGTGCTATTTTCAGTGGTATAGGAGTGGGTTGGAAAGGAACTAGGGGCGGCCAGACCAAAACATGGCACAAGTCCATGAAGTCACTGACAAGTGAACTGAGTCATGCTGGCAGGTGTAGACTACCTGGTTGGGGACCACGAGATGATAGCAACTGATGGTTAGAGGCCCTGAATGACATGGCTCAAAATCGTTTGCAATGGCGCAGGTGCATTCCACTCTTTGTGTTCTCCCGAATTCTAATCTTCTGAATTCTTCATGTCCCTTTTTTTCCTCTTTCCAAATTTATTTCACTGGATTATACTCTTTAAATAACATCTCCAAACCCTAATCTTCCCGATTACTGCTTATACTCTTACTACCTCTACCACTATAAAATTTGAATCGACAACTGCATCTCTGTGCTAATGTGGTATGGCAACTCGAAATGATGTACGTACGTACGAAGTTCTACGTTGTTACTGACTGACTGACTGACTCATCAAAATATATTTATTGGAACAGATTAATGGGTCAGACGCCGATACACTATATCTAACTTGTATGTCTTATTATGACCCCACTCCACGAATGGGTCATCACATACTGTAAACCCTTATCTATATAATCCTCCCTTGTGTTTGTGGTTATCTCTACTTTGTCCTATTTTTAATTTACACATTGTCCTTTCTCAATTCATTTAAATTTCTTATCATAATTACTCTGATAACACCTCTCTTATTAAAGATTATATTTACATGGCATAATAATAATAATTATTATTTTCTCAATTAAGTCCATAAAGAATTTCACTCCACTATTTATTTTACTCACATAATTCATTTTCTTATACTGATTATGGCTGAACAATTCACAACGAATTTTCCTACACTTGTTTTAGTGACCTTTCTTATTTAATAATGATTATTTTGGTGTATATACGTCTTAAACGATGCAAAAGTTCGCTATTTGAATGAATAACATTATCTAACTCACTTAAGAATGCCTTATTTTGGTCATCCCAATACGATAATTTTGTTGAAATCATGAAATGATTTATGACCGCCATTGAAATCCGTACGCGGGGATCACAGCTAAAGCCATTGAGTGCTTCGTCAATTTTAATGCTGGTCTAACTTGAATGATTTCACTATTTCAATGAAATTCGACAGTCTTCACAACCCTGGAGCCCTTCTAGGGTTACTGCTGGTCTGAAGCCTGGATAAACTAGGGTTGGCATGGGGTTAGCAAATTCATTCCATAGAAAGAAATCTTCCTAGGATAACGCTTTAGAATGAATTTGTTGAGAAGTATTTCTTCGTTGAATAAATTGTTGTACGGTTTATCGGGTATATATTCAAGTTAAATAAATATATGACATTGTTAGATTAATAAATTACATTTGTTTAGGGTTATTGATGACCTTCTTTATTAATTTAAGTACACTATCAACTCATAATACACAAACGATTGTAAATTAGCTGGCTACAATCATTCAGACTCATTCAGGGATTATAGGAAGAAAAATTCCTGAAGACATACTTGATTATATTCTTTCTTCATTTGTTAATTCGGTTGTTGGTTTAGTTTCTTGAACTATAAGTATGGTTAGACAGGTGTATAAGATTTTGCAGCTTGTTTTATCATTATTGCTCATATTTCTTAGCCGCTGAATAGTTTTTTTTAAAATTATGATGTAATTAGAGTAAATCTGAAATTACACTTGAAAGAATGCTTCATATAGATCATTCAACAGTTTAGGTTCGCGCAAACTGTATGTATTCCTACTTCTGTTAATTTAAGTTCAATTATTCCCTAGTGGAAATTTCATCGTTCTTTGGTAAATAACCCATTCACTTCATTCATGGAGCAGTTATAGATGAAATGCTTCAAAAGCATTAGTTATTTTCTCTAGAAAGTGGCGTTCACATCTTTTGAAAACTATATTCTTATCTGAAGTTTATTATCAATTCACTGAGTTGCTGTCACAGCTTAATCTAATATACTGTTATAACTTATGACTTCCGATTAGGGAGCAGTAAACTATCGATCGGATCAATGACGCGTAAGCCTGTATGAACAGTTTGGAGTCTTTATTGGTCTCGCTTCCTGTCTAGCCCAGCCGGTTAAGTCCAGAACACAAATCCGAGCCTCTGCGATATGAATAATGTATTTCAAACATACTCTGTTTATATACCAATCAAACAGACCACAACGTACCATCAAAATAAAAAATAACATTTGTACAAAATTTGGCCAAATGTGGCTGTGAGCGTGGGAGGCAGTGACTAATTGATAGGGCATAATTCAAGAATGGTAAGACGTATAATAACAGTTCATAGGTCAAAATAAAGCTCATAACGAGAGTAATATGAATACGAATAGTTTAGTTATTTAACAATTATATGATAAAAATTATCATAATATTATTGGTCCATAATGGGTCACAAAGTTACCATTCATTATGCTTATCGGGACCTAACATATACCTTTTCACATAAGTTTGAAGTGGCTTTTGAAAATGAGTTTATTATCATAACTGTTGAAAGTTAATAAGTCCCCGGTTGCAGTCGTATTTTGTTCCTGGATATCTTCAGTAACAACATCAGTAGTAGTAGTAGTAATATGCATTCAATTGTTAAATTCCATCCATTTCTCAGAGTATTCAATCATGAATAGTCATTGAAATTTGACTTACTGTATTTGTCAACTGGAATTTTTAGACTAAATTTTAGTGAGAGCTGTTTCTAAGTAAATGAGGAACTTAAAGTACTTGGAAATAATTTTATGTACACGTTCATATCTTTATTCGTTGAGAAGTTTCATGAATCATTGAATATATGAAAATTGTTCATTTTTCGTAAAGTATATTTATTTTCTTTTTCTCTTTAAAAAAAACCCACTCAGAACTATTCGTTTGCTTGAAGATGCCCAAAAATCTCGTACAGATACTTGGATATATCTTAACAATTGTCAGTCAGAATTACAACATCAACTTCCTCTTGCCACATATCTTCTCAAACCAGTACAACGTATACTCAAGTATCAATTATTTTTACAGGTAATTTAGTGATTATTTTAAATAACGTAAATTTATTTATTTGTTACATGACCAAGTACTCAGTTGGTTGCATTTGTTTCAAAGTATTAAATTCTTAAGATGATCAAACATTTATTGAGTCAGTGGTCTATTCATTCTTTTCAACTATCGATGTTATTTAGGCTATGGTACACTTTAAATTTATTACAAAACGAGAGGTAACATTTTAAAAATTAGGGTTTCATTATTTGAAAAGACGTAATTCATAAATTATTTCCAATTGAATGTTTATCACAGTTGTTACACAACACTTTCGGGCATAATATAAACGGGTGGGGGGTCTGTTATTACTGTAGTCTGTCGAGAAACCATTTTATGCGTTAAAATTGTAGAAGAGAACTTAGTTGATTAGATTTACTATTGTTACAGGTGGTGGTGGTATGACCTAGCATTGACTGTAACATCACATTATGATATTAATGTGATGACAAAAAGAAAAGACGTTCTTGAGTTGTGTTGAGGACAGGTGATCAGCTCATTTAATCTTAAAGTAGCTGTATTATGTGGTCCGAATGTTGATTACCTCATCTGGATTTTCATGTGTAGGATCAATGAACTCAATAACGGTGAGACAACGACTGAAATCAACACTTCATGCCTAATGATCCCGGATGCATTTCTCCATTCTTTCTTGTCTGATTGACCGAACAAAACAGGAAACACATTGGGCAAATAACTTCCATTGTACAGTTTCATTCATAACTCAAACTTGTAAGACAATATGTGCATAACTACTCCATAAATGGAACAGAACTCAGTAATTGGTCAATAATAACTCACAGAAGGTGAAACAAAGAACAATAGTTTATGCACCAAATGAAAGCTTACAATTAGGACAATAGAAGAGTGCAGTAATTTAAGTGTCTAATAATTATGCAATAAAATTATCATTAAATAATTCTTTGCAAGATAATCCAAAAAGTTTTATGTTCACAATATTCACCTCATTATAGGAGATATTTAATTGATTTTTCGATTCCTGTTCGTCATTCACAAACCAGTATTCATTTGGTTACTTACTTTTTTCTGTACCACTATTGACATAGAAGTTTTTCGTGAAGAGGAAAAGTACTATGATCACATTTCTTGTCATTTCGTCCTTTATTTATCTAATTACTCCTTTTTTTATTTTATTCACTCTCTCTTTTCTTTTTTATCACAATTAGGAATGTGTCAAACATTTAAGTCAAATAACAACAGAACTATCAAATTCGAAATCTTCAGTACCAAGTAGAGATTTATCGATTAGCAACACTGTAGGTCTTTCAGAAAGTAACAATGATCAGAATAACGATGTATTGTTGGAGTTTTTCAATCATTCTATTTATACATTAAGACAAGCATTGGAACGTATGATTCAAGTGAGTGGTATAATTTCACTAGATATAAATTGTATGTAATACATTCTATCATTTCTAAACGATCTTTTATATCTCTTATTTGCGTATTAAAGTGACTCCACTTATCGCTGTACAGTTGCACATAATTGGGTTGTGTGCGAGCCTAACTAGGTACTGTAGTGAGAAAACTGAGAAGAAAGTATTTATTATCTGAGTCGAGTTATCACTAATATATATATATATATATATATATATATATATATATATATATATATATACCACTTGTAAATTGAAACCACGTTTTCTACCAATAGAGCGTCTTATTCTTTGAAAAAGGAAGCCTCTCAACGTTGTATATATGATGTCGAGTTACTTAGACTGGTGGCCACATTTCAACTTGGTCAAAATAATTCAATGAACACCAAAAAGACTAGATGAACATAACATTGCTGTCTACTTCTTATTTTTGTCACCATTCTTCACTTTCCGATTATATGCTTCAATTTTAATCTAGATTTTAAAAAATTATTTATTTAAACACAAACATTGGTACAAAGGGGCACCAAAATATGTATGCGCCATAATGATTATTGAATTTGTATGTAGGCTGGGGTTATTGCCTGGTCGCCCAAACCGAAGCAGGTTGTTTTTTTAGAGTGGTACTCCCTGAGCCTTTGATCTAGAGATCCAACCCACTACTTAGTGAACGATGGGGGCCCTATGGTAGCTGGCGATCAACGGTAGGTTCATGTACCCCATTCGTTCCCTCAAGATCCTGGAGGTCAGGTACACCATTGGTTTGGAACCAGGACTTCCTGACTCTCTTAGGTGCGTGATGCGTATCCACTAACCTGGTTTTAGCGCCGGACATTCACGTTTCGTCCTCTCGATTTCGTAAACGACACCCTCTCTACGAGAAGCAAGTGAGCAGGACTTTCCTGTCAGTGGTTATATATGCGTGGACATATGAGAGGATTTCAAAAGAGAAAGCCGACTGTCCCCACCTTCGACCGTATCAGGGCTATACACTCAAATTAATTGTAGACGGATTTTGCTGATAACAATCATATTGGTTATATTGTTCACATACTGAGTAGTGAGTAAAGTTAGTTTAGATGGTGACGTTTTATAGCAGAATACAAGTAAAGCTAAACTAAATAAACCATTTATTTGACTGGAGTCTCTGTACTTGAAACAAATGAATGGAGTCTCTATCACTATTTTGACCATTAACACGCTTTATACTGTGTTGCTTTTTTGTTAAGTCTTTCATTGTCCGACCACAAATATATCCTTATTACTTAGTATTCTTCGTACATTGCCTCATTCGACTAGTCCTCAAAATATTCGAAATAAACTAAGTTGAATGGAAGTGAGTCATAAAAGGAAAAGCGTTCGTATATTTATGATTTTACGCAAGAAGGTTCAAAAGTCCATTAACACAGATCGACTAAGAATGAGTCAATTAATGTGTTTCAACACAATCCTGTATGGGACTTACTTTAATCCAATCTATGTCCTATTAACACTTATCGTTAACCTAAATAATCTACATATTGACGCCTCATTTTTTCAATGTTACGTATTCTTACCTTTGTATTCGTACATATGTAATGTTTATACTTATGTAATTGGTTGGTGGTTTCAGGTGTGTGATCGATTTTTATTCAGACTAGCAACTGGACAATAAGTAATCCGCTTTAATTTTATAGTACAATCTCCTTTTAATGTGCATAATTAGTCAACACTCCCACATATTCATTATTCTGGCGCCTCCATTTCTCCGAAATTGTTGAAATATAACATTTAAGCATTAACTCATCACCGCCATCGTTAAACGATGTTATTATTATTATTATTATTATTCGGCCAAGATTAGTTGAGAAATAGGATTTTTCATTAGCATTCTTGTAAAGTATATTTATTAGATTATTTGTAGAACAAGGAAGAATGAAATAACGAGAATATTTCAGTAAAAATATCATTACTTAATAATTCCACCTTTTGGGAAACTGTGAGATCACAGGTATATATATATATATATATCAGTGTGGAGGTTTCGTGAAGATTGTTGAGTACCATTACGTTAACGAACTGATCTAAATTAGACAACCGTTGAAAAAAGAAAGCCATGAACATCTGTTTCTAACTAGTATGGCATATGTTATGATGGGCGATGCTTGAGATCTGATATTAACACACAACGCGCAATGCGTTAACCCCTACCCTCAAACTGACTCAGTCAATTATCTACAACGTAGGATCAGGCACATATATACAACGGTTCAAGTTGCAATGCCTCATTAGCACAACAAAATGATCACCAAACTCATAGAAGCAGTTACTTCAGTGGTAGTAATATATAAAAGATTGTGTATAAGGATATAATACAGGAAGAAAGAATTAGTTCGTAGAAAAAAAGGTACCTCGGAGAGATGTAATTTTCACGGTCGACTAGCTCCTTCTTCACTTGTTCCTGAAATATATTCTTAACTTTTCCACCATTGAATTGCACTATGAGGGGTTTTATTGGTATGGCTCTCCTACAGTCAGTGAGATTCAGACAAATACGTACTCGAAATAGAGCATGGTTTGAGTCTAAACATATGCTCCAGAATGAGCGACAGTCTTCAACCGAGTCCTCTAACGATGACTAGTAGCAATGTTATCAAGTTGAGTCGATTGTGGAGGTCGTCATGTCAGACGATGTTTCTCCTTATGCTTAGAGTTGGTGTTTGACAGAAATAGACGGTTATCTAAGCACAGTTGCAACGGACGGTCGCAATTATCTGTCCGGTCTATGCTCCTCCACGAGGAGTAACAAGCGTAAGTAATTAAGTAAGTGGGCCGCAACACCGTAAGATCCACATGAGTGTCTTTCGGTTTGGTTTAATTTACCTATTTGAGCATTAAAATCAACTGCTACTATTACTACATCAGAGAGTTTAGATTTTTGAAGGAGGTTGGATAGCTTCCTATAAAATTCATCTATAATTTCGTCCGGGCTGTAACCAGCGGGAGCGTAAACAGAGACAACAGAAAGGCGAATGGGCATGTCCTTATTTTTTCGAGTTCTTACTGCCCCGTTTAGTCGGACAGCACATAAGCGACTGTTAACAGGGATCTATTCTAAAAGTGTTTGTTCTGCCGTCATGCTCAATGCTATGCTTGCACTCGTCAGTTCACGAGAATTTGTTGTTGGGTTGCCAGATAAACGGAGTGGTATCTTATCGGCTCCCCTTTTTGGCTAGGTAAGGTCAAGTGAATGACCACACCAGGATCCTATATGTGCGTCATACATCAGTGGTTCGAGATTCTAGGGTCTAAGCCGAGGAGGCCTACTGGCCGACTTGACTTAAGGTACGTACGTTGAAGACAAATCAGTGGTTTGTAGCATAGACCCTTCGTGCTATGCTAAAGCTCCTGAGGTCAATCTCTCAAGGGGTCTTGGATGTACTTTGCTAAAGAATCCCCTATTCAATTGACAGACGCTCCCTAGTTTTCACTGGTTAGATCGATTTGTGGTTTCAGTATTATACAGTTTACATTACAATGTTAATCTATTTAGCATTTGTTAATAATAATAGTAATAATATTAATAATAATGGATTATAATTAAATAAAGTATTATGTGTATTTTATTGCTTCCCTTTTGTTATTGTTTTTGTATAGGTTGCAGATCATATCAATGAACGTAAACGTTATCGTGAATTATTAGATCAACTTCGGATTACTCGATTAGATGTAGATAATTGGGGTGATCTTGTATTACATGATCATTTTCGTATACCGGGTAAAAAAGACCTACGTCTTGTTCTCCTGTTTCAGTGTGCACTTATCCTATGTAAATATACACCGCCTACATCTTCATCCGGTATCAGTTTGTCAACTTCCCAGTCCATAACTATCAATGATTATTGGAGCAATACAATTAAAACAATGAAATCACGTGGTGGATCAGATAGAATATCAGGAAATTCTAGTCACATGGTTTCAAATGTTAGATCGATCGAAATACGTGAAGTGATTAGTGTGAGTTTATGAAATAGAAATTGGCTTATTGTCCCAATTTTTTATTCTAAAAATCCCTGGATCTAGTTCAACCAAGATTTTAAAAGATATAAATTAGAACAAATGCCTATATCTTGCAGGTTTTTTTTTCGAGGGCTGAGACGGAAAATGAATACCATTTGAAACTTAGGCAAAACTCTGTCGTTGTTTTTCATGAGAGTACTGTATTAGATACTACAAAAACGTACCAAATGTTGATCGCGTCAGTTAACTGATGGCAGGATTGTATCGAAGAGATATGGATCTTTCGACACACAATATACTTTGAAATAGATAAATTACTACGTATATCGTTTATAATTACTTCATTTTGTTTAGTAAGACCGATGTCTCCATCGGCGGCCTGCTTGAATATCTGGGCTACCTGTTTCTGCCATCTGATTATTTCAACAAGTTATCTGTTTTCATTTGTTTTAATTTATAATTATGTCCATTAATCGCATAACCTATTCAGGCGCTTTTATGAAAAGCCTACGACCTTTCGCTGCACAGGTTACAAAAAAGTACTATAAAAGGCATCGTGGTGGTTGGCAATATGCGTTAAAGAGAATGAATATTAATCGTATGTCGATTCCCGAGCTGCTAAATTCTGTCGATCACTAATCAACAAAGTGGACTATCTGCAGTTCCTACTAAGTCAAAATATGTATCTTTATCGTGGTGTCATCACAATTCAAGAATCTTGGTTAAATGATTTACAGGATGACTGCCTTGTATCACTACATGATTTTTAAATTTATCGTCAGGATCGATCGAACAATAAAAAGAGGTGTGGTGGCGGTGTAGCTACGTTTGTAAACGTAAACTGATGTCGATCTTCGTTTGTGTTTTAAGTTTTCAAATGACTTTATCGACTGTCTAACTCTAAGATATCGTCCAAAACATCTGAATAAATACAAATATGTTTATGTTACCAATATCTATGTGACTCCAGATTGCACATCATCTGCACTATCTGTTTTCGCTGATGAATTCACGGTTTTCTTTTTTTTTTTGTATTATTTGTTTCTCAAAATGTGTTTCCCTTTCTCTCTTTTTTTGTGTGTTTCCACCCTTTTTAAAAAGAAGGGACAAAAAAAAAAAAAAAAAAAAAAAAAATTTTAAAATTTTTTTTTTTTTTTTTTTTTTTTAAAAAAAGGGAAAAAAAAAAAAAAATTAAAAAAAAAATTTTTATTTTAAATTTTAAAAATAAAAAATAAAAAAAAAATTAAGTTTTTTTTTTTTTTTAATTTTTTTTTTTTTTTTTTTTTTTTTTTTTTTTTTTTTTAAATTTTTTTTTTTTTTTTTTTTTTTTTTTTTTTTTTTTTTTTTTTTTTTTTTTTTTTTTTTAAAAAAAAAAAAAAAAAAAAAAAAAAAAAAATCACATACCTTGAAAAATTCTGGGTCATCCGATCGACCTGGTAGTTTGACTATGGAGCAAGTTCTTCCTAACTTCTTTTTTCCTGCTTTTGAGATATCAGTTGAATACCTTTCACCCTGTTATTTCGTACATCAGCAATTTTTTTTAAGATATTAGAATATGGTGTATTTAAAATCTACTCTTTCTAACTCATCCTGTTTGTTGAAGGATAGAAACTCAGGAAATACCTTCATCACATCTCAGTTCAGTTGGGAGTCCTTTGGACCTCAACCTCAATTGTACCTCGATTATACTACTGTGCAACTTATATTGTAGGCGTAATAGTATCTCAGAAAACATGTGTCTCAATCAACATCGCTTAAAAGACCAGTTGGACCATAGTGTCAAATTAGTGTTTGTAGTCGAATTAATGATTTTATTTTATATAGTTCCATTTGAATTGCAATGTTATCTGACACTAATGGATAAGAAATGCCCTAACCAGTCGTTTTCACCTTAAGCTCTAAATATGATTGACCTAACATTTTGTTAAAATAAGTCACACTGCTAATCCACTGATACTCATTACCGACTAGCTTGAATCAAAAACGACTTTCAAGTATAACTAAACGATATTGTAGGATACTGTCAGTTAAACAACCTTCAAATAAATATTTTTTGGCATTTAATAACTTGTATTTTAATTCACTTGAAGTGAGTAGTGAATCTTCATCAACTGAAGTGGTCAGTACTTGTATTATTTATGCTTAGACAACTGCCCTAACCTCAATGCGTTGTGTTGGCTGGTGTAAGGGAGGTAGGTTGAAAATCAGAGGAAGTTAAACTTAGATGTAATCAGTCCATGACATTGTTGATCTCTGGGCAGTGTCGTGTTTATAAGTTCAAGCTGTCTGCCTTGAATTCCAAGCGATAACTTGGGCTAGCGTTTGGCCATGTTGAGTGAAACAGGTCGAAATCTCTCTCAGTGGTGTCGTTACATTATTTCCTATCGTTTTTGTTAAACCATGAATTCATCCCTTCTTCATGATTCATATTCACTAGTTCTAATGTTATGTCCTTCTGTCCTTTGGTTGAATATAATTTATTTGCATCTTATTAATGATGTTTCACAATTTTTTTTTCAATATTATAATGATAAATGGAGTAAACCTCTGACCAATATTTTTGACGTTAGCACCTCACTCGATCTCTGAACTGAGTAGCCGGGTAGGTATTTCTACACTAAACACAAAATGTGGTTCAAAGCCTAATAAATCAACCTGTACTTGGTAAATGAGTTATCAGTCGTTCATATTGTTTCATCATATATTTCCACAACTGATAATTATAGCTGATGTATCTTGAGGATTAGAAGTTATTAGATATTTACCAGAGCAACTCACCCGAGGTTGAATAAAGGCAAAAGATTGTCGTAACATTTATATATGAAAATTTATTAACTCTAAGCGGTTCTACAACAAGTAATAATTAGTTCGTGATAAACTCACATTTTAGGCAATGAACAACATTAATCAAATCTCAACACAAAAATGACCACTTCGACATGGCCACATATGGACTTCATCACTCAATAGGAAAAGTCAGTCAAACCAGTAACTAATGAGATACGAGAATTATTTTCAGTTACTCATAAGTAATATAGTCGTAATATACAAATTTCATGCTGGGCTTATGTGAGACATCATTTGAGTTGATACCAATGGTCACCGTGTGTTCACTTTTTAACCTTCTGTGATCATCAAAAGGTTTTGGATTCCAATTTCACTATTCATCCGAATTTTTCTTGATACCCATATCTGTTTTGTCTTTTTACATCTGTTATTTCTCAGGTGCATGTATGGATATGTATACTTGTTAGGATATCGTACCGTTACACACTTTCGTGATTCATTCTAGCTTTAGGACAACTTTTAGTGACCGAAATAGGACTTGACCATTGGATTATTTTTACCCTCCTAATAGCTTTATTATTTTCATAGAAGATTGTTTTCTTACCCAATACCTGTCTCGTCACACTACACTTTATCTATTGCAAGCCATACTAACGGTTGCAACTATTCATATTTTGAGTTGGTACATCTGCTTTTTCCAATTCTCATTTTACTGTCTGTCTATGTATTTTACTACCTGAAACAAATTGACCCAAATCAATTCTATTACATCATCATGCTTATTCCTTGTTCATAGGTTCACACGGGTGTAATACTTTAACAAAAAATTTCTTATAAATATACGATTGTACAGCTTGATAATAAATTCGTTGAAAAGAGATCTCTTCTCTAAAATTCGTATTTGTCCTTTATTATCACTTTCGCCCAAACTCAATTATTCTAAGTAAAATATACGAGATCAAGCAGAGAATTCATGTTCTTTATTGGTTCCTTCGTCAGATGAAGGTTATTAAAATACTCAGTTAGTCAATTAATCAACTCCAATAAGCAGTTTATTATCTTTAACCTAATTAATTAATTTAATTAATTCATAATCACCATTGGTATTTACAATAAATTTTCTGCTTGGTTTTTCGTAGTGTGCTAATTTAATGCTAGTTGAATGTATCGACAAAGATCCATTAGCATTTCATATATTACCATTTGATAATCCTAAAGCACAACGTACTCTACAAGCAACCAATTTAGAAATTAAACGTCTATGGTGTCGTGAAATAAAACGTTTAATATTAGAAAATTATGATGCAGCTATTCCGGAAAGAGCAAAACAAATTGTACTTAACATGGATGATTTAACTTATGGTCCACCTATTAAAGATATATCTGATCTACCTATGAGTTTATGTAATTTACAACAAGTTGGAAAAAATGATTTTGAAGAAGACTGTTTAAACCAAAATTGTTCAAATGATCGAGTACATCGTAAGAGTGATACAGCTCTTCCAGGTGAGTGGTTTTCTTTGTTGTTTTTGAAAAAATAAATTCTAATAAATGTACTATAATTCATTTGTATTGGTTGTTTAAGTCTTCCCATTGTTGTTCAAGATTGCAATTGATCAATCTCTTATTAGCATAAGTGCATCCTTTGCGGATTACCTCGTTATTACCTATCAAGTCACAAGCATTGTAAGCAGAGATAGATGGGTAACTAACAGTGGAATCCAGGAAGCATGTTTCGTCCTTTTCTGGACTCCTCTGCTGGATATACCTGCATCCGAGAGTTGAGGAATACGTAACTGATTTGTGCTTAAAAACTGAGAATCTGACTCTGATGACGCGTAGTAAAAACCAAAGACTAGTGATACTGTTATACTCGAACGAGAATAAATGAATGGTAACTGTTGGGAATTACTTATGGACTAATATTATACTAATATTTTTATTGTATGACTGTTAAATGACTATGATACATGTATATTCATATTCCTTTTATTATAAACTTCTATTTAGCCTATTGACTATTATCATACGATTTACTGTTCTTGAGATATTCCCAATTTGTTAGTAACAGTCTCTCACAATCACAGCCACTTTTGGCTTGATCTTGTACAAATGTTATCTGCTATTTTATGGTGTGATGCAGTTTGGTTTGTTTGTGTATGAACCCAATATATCTGAAATATATGATTCGTATCGCGGAGGCTCATATTAGCGCTCTGGTTTGCACTGGCTAGGTTAAGAGAGAAGCTATTATCTTGGTGGACCAATAAGAACGCTAAGCTTCTCGTATAGGTTTATGCGTCATTAGTCTGGTTGTATAAGTCGTCTTTAATTGGCGGTCGTGTCGCGTGATATACTTAATCGACCACAAGAACATGACAGATATGGATTTAATTGATGCTCGAGATAAACGATGTATGAATACGTTATCTTTTTAATTAATTTTTGTATAGCCAGATCAATGAATTGACATAATTTGACTGAGTTATATTTAACGTACTTATTCACAATATCATATTGCTCTATTGATATTGTCATATCAACAGTTAATGTCGTTAACTTCTTTAATCATTTGACTTATGAAAAAACATATATATATCCAAACTATTTTCCATCATTATCATCAGGTCTTCGAAGCTTTTTAAATCGGCAAACAAACAAACATTCAATTTATTCAAATTCAATTCACACACCTAGTCTATCTTTGAATAATAACATCAATGAATGTAGAATACCTTTATTAGAAAATGGTTGTATGTTGAATGGCAAGAAAAACGTTATCGGTGATAAAGTCTTACCCTCTGATGATATTAATAATTCAACTGATAGACATCTTGATTCATTACTACACGAAGCCTGGGAGGAAATATGGGCTAAACATCAGCATTCACCAGTTAAAACAACTTTTGCAAATGGTCAGTCAGATTCTTTGGAAAACGGTAATCTTCATCATTATCATCAGGATAATTGTAAATTGGACACAGAGGATGTTTATTCATCTGATTCAATAGTAACAACAAAAGCGAATAATGATGCAGACTTCCGGTGTATTGCTGTAGAAATTAATGAAGAGAAATTTGGTCTTTTATCACCTGTCACTGTACCGACGTGTACTGTTAATGAAAATAAAAAATACTCAATATCTTCTCTATCTAAATTAAATACAGATTCTTTAAATTGTGTAAATAATTCAGGTAAATATGACTATATTTATTAAAAAAATTAAATCATTGATCACTCACTATTTATTGGTATTTATTTGAATGTTTCCGCTATTCGTATCAAGGTCTGAAATTTGATTAGCCTCTGTTAGCTTATTTGCATTCTGAGCGGATTCACTTAGTATTGCGCTAAGTTACAAATACCTAGGGAAAGATGGATGGTGGTTATCAGTAGATTTCAGGATGCATCTTTCGTTTTGTATGGAACTCATCGGCTAGATGTACCCTACTACATCAATGTTGATATTCGCATCTGGACACGAACCGATTATCTTTCGCTTTAAACACCCAACATACTCTCCACATTAACCTTGACATGATTCAGACATGATTCGTCCCCTTGGTACAAACTAATGGCTAGCTAGATTCAGTAGCTCTGTGGATGATGTACTGGGCACTGGGTTCAAGTCCTGGTATGAACATCAAAACGGATGCAAGTACATCAAAGACACCAGCCACTATTAGTGTTTACTTAAATTGATCAGTTAAGTTTAGAAAGTTCACAAAGTCACATTATTTATATGAATTATTGACATTGAATAATTAATGTGTAGTGACTACTGATATTATGTTTGTTTTGTCTTTAGTGCCAAGCGAACTCCGTTGGTCAAGGTAATTGGGTTAATGATCAAAATAAACTTAGTTAACGAAGTCTTAAAATGAAAGTTACAAGGTAAACAATATTACTTTACTCCTACTCACTAAGATTTTGGGATTCAGGTTCTAAAGAACGACAGAGTGAGTGCACGTGCTTCAGTGTGAACAACTTTGAACTTTGTTACTCGAAATATCTGATGATTGGTTACGATAATCACACGGATACCAAACAGATAATCTACACCTATTAACATGGTTCAGTCAAATTGTCAATAATTTCATGTAATGATACCAAGTCTATGTTTGGTCACCCCTAGCTTTCTTTCACCAGGCATTTACCTCTTAAAGACTTGACTGTTAGCTTCTTCAAATATTCCATTTTGTTTCTATAAAGTGATCTAGTTAAATTAGTTTACTCCAAACAAAATGAAGTGGGAATTTTCCTAAACTAACCTTTTTGTATAGAATTATTGTGAACATTACCTTTCCTTTAAAAAATTCAACTGTCTCCTGTGATTAGTTTGCTCTTAAACCTATTACAGATGACTCAAAATACCTCAGTTTAGTTACAGTTAATTCATAGTCCAGTAACTTTCAGACTTATCCTTCATTCTTCAGTTTTACTAACCTAAATGTATTGAAATACCTATTAGAATATTTGACAATAATGTATGACACATCGATAAAAATGCACATTGTTCTTACTTTTTCCCTTTCCCAATAAATCAGATAACTACAAATTTTCTATTCCTACTTCATCATCTCCCTCATCACAACATTTATTACATTATTCTTCATCACCTAATTTTTCAATCTGTCAACGATCATCACCAACATTATTATCTAATAAATCTGTACATAGTCATAATCGTACAACTTCCGTTTATATTGACTGTCCAAATACATCATATTATGATGTAATCACATTTGGTCGAACTTATGAACAGTATATTGCTAAAGCTCGAGCAATGGTAGCTTTATCTCCAAAAGATTTAGATGAAATATTCAGTCCATTACGAGAATTACCATTTACTAATCGTGAGCATCAGTTATCAAACTCTTCACTTCATTATCACAATCAAGATGATATATTATCTTCTAATGTTATCAATGTAACAACAACTCATTGTTCAACTGTCCCATTAATATTAAACACAAATATTAATTCAATGAAACAGTTATCTGATACCAATTCGACAACGACGACCAAGAATCGAAATTGTTTAACTTCTGATTTGAAATTATCTTTAACTAATCTTACATCTTCTATAGAAGAAAATAATGGTAATGATAAGAGTAATGATTATTGTTCTTCGTCTGGTGCTAGTTCTCCACGACATTTAGTTAGTTGTATCGCTGTAACACATAATCGAAATGGACTCAATAGTAATTTAGCAACAAAAGTGAGTTTTTTTTGATTCCCCAATTGATAAATATAATGTTAGTTATTTGTTTTGCGTTGCCAGCGTTTTTTTCCTAATTTTTTCTTCATCTGAAAGCTGGTTTGTTCTGTGCCAAGTAGGTTGTTGCTGATGGTGTCTGGCCAACAGATCAAGAGCATCTTTTGTAGGCAACTGTCCATATATACCTGTACGTTTTCTGATAATGGTTGTGGTATTTCCCCATGGTTCAGCTCTGTACAGTAGAATTGTCTTGACGTTTGTGTTGAAAATTCTGATTTATTAGTCACCAAGTGATATCTCACTCTGTAGCTATAAACAAATATCTTGGTTTTTATTGCCTTTTTTAAACTGTATTCTAAATAAATTCTTTATTGAACAATGTTGAATGAAAATCAATTTGTAAGTAACTAGTTAGATAAAACTGGAAATAACATTAATAAAATAGAAAATTCTTTAATTCTCAAAACACAGTAAGATAGATGGCGTCTCTCAGCTGAAGATGCTGAGTGACTCTATATTCGATCATTGTTGTCTTCAAAAAGGATTTCTAACTTTGGCTGTGAACAATATGTTAGTAATGCTGATATCCGGCACTGTATATAGCGATAATTTAATTAGTATTACCACCTTGGATACTTGCTACGAGTGTCATCTCAGGGCTTTCCACGTCGAGCATTATTTGCCGACGTTGGGATTGGATGCGAAATTCACCCAGGTGGTGATGCGTTCATGCATTGTATTAATATTTCGCAACTCTTAATTCAATACAATAAGTGAAACAACTTTTATCGACTTCTTTCTGCCTCGCTAACTAGAATAAATAGGCCAGTTTGATATTGGAAGCTTTGTTGATAGTCACTTCAATATATCAATCGAGAATATATTTAAGTTAATCGTTTTCGTATTATTTATAGTGATTAGATTTTATGAACTGAATCTTTGTTGCTAAACGAGAATCATTAAAAATATATTGAAAGTCTATGAGTAGAGTTCGCACTGAGTAGTTTAAAATATGAAAGATTCATGTTAATCGATATCGATTTGCTTTCTCATAAATTGTATTTCGGGATTGTACATCCTTAACAGGTAGTTAGTTTATGACATTAAGCCATAGTATAAAAGAAAACTGTCTAGAATTGACATTTGTCGTTTCATCTTGGTTTATCTGGTTGGGATCCTAGTGATCTCTTGAACTCGGTAACTCGACACATTATCAGATAGGTGTCAGAATCAAACTCAGTGGTGATTCTCCCATGATTTTCTTTTACATTTTTCGTAAAAGTGTGGGGAATTTCTTTAACGGGAAGAATTCTTCTTGGTTGTATTTTTCAAAAAACTGGACTGCCTCTTCTATTTAGATTGTTCTCATTCACGTACTTTTATTCGTTTTTTCTCTTTTGTTTGTACTCCCTCACTTTATCTGTCTCGTTACAATTTCATCATTTTATTTGTATGGAGCATATCTGTTTTGATTCTCATTTCTATTGTAGTGAATGGAGACTTGGTTAGGGTAAACCAATTTATTGTATTAAGCAAAATCACACAGCATTTGTAAAATGTGGAAACAATACATCTAATACACCATTTGCACAAGACTCGTGGATTGTCATTTACAAGCTCCATCGTCCTTTCGTTACTTTTGCTACTCGGACTGCTTCTGTTTTTGTTTCTCTTCTCATGTCCATCTTCTGTCAGTAAGAATCGTACTTCCAATTCTTTATACATGCTACTGTCTATAGTACACACCACAGTGTCAGTATATATATGTATTAAATAAGTAAGATATAATTTCATTTATTTCCTTGATTGTTTAGAATATAACTGTGGTACCGAGTAACACCACTGCTACGCCAGCCGTAACAATCGACAGTCGTGTATCAGCTGCAAGATCGAATTCACTATCATCAGGATTCCGAACAAGTGAATCGAAAAATAATGTTGATCTAGTCGATAATTTAGATCGTGGACGAAGGTATGTCAGTCAATCGACATTTCTTTGTAGTTTGACTAGTTTTAAATTTCAGTTAAATTTTTTTTGCTATGCAAAATATGATGTTGAAATATAAAAATTATAGATGCTTAGTAGTTTCGTATATCGATTGGTGATTCTGTTTCATTTCCGTTCATCGACAATTCCTTATCGAAATCTACACTATACTTTTGTCTTTTTTGTTTCGACCAGTTACTTTTAAACATTTAGTTCACTAATTGATTACACTTTCTTAACGATCTTTCATCCAATTGTCTTATCTGTTCAACTATCAAACAATTGCATCAAGGCTAGGTAGGCGAAGTTATAGTTCAAAATTGTGACCTAACTTTGTGTAGTATGACTAATAAACTTATTTATTTATTTACCCTTAATACAGTAGATTTGGCTCATTGCTTGTTTTGCGTGTTTTCATCCTGATAAGTTTGTTAATTGAACGCTCGATCTAATTTTCTAATCTCTTCTAATAAACCCAGTCTAAATCACCTATACTACAACCTGAACACAAGAAGAAGGGCGCGAATTGCAGAACAGACGCTTTACTCCATACACAACAAATAACGTAACCTTGGTCATATCGACAGTTCCAGAAGCATACTAAATATAGCAGTAATAGGATAATTATCCAATCAAAAATATGTCAAATAATCTCTCATCCTTCCACATGTTTCGAAGAGGATTCCATCCAATCCTAATTAAATAGTGTTCCCCAGAGTTTTTGAGGCCTTTTTTTTACTTTTCTGAGGATTTTTTTAGAACACAACAATTCAGTTGCTGAGTAGTATTGTATTAAAGTCTAAATATACCAACAAATGTCAAATCGTGATTAAATCTCTACGTTTAGATCAACAGTATTATCATGTGGAAAATTAGGAAATACAGAATAAATTGGGTGGTGAAGACTGTCCAACTACCATCAGTGTTATATTTATTTGTTCGTTTACAGTTCACCTTTAGTCCATCTTCATAGTCTAATGTTTGTGTACATACATGTATGCATCTTTTATAATAAAGTTAATTTTGTTTTGTCGAACTGCTGAACATATCAAACAATAATGATAATTGTGTCTTAATTTCGAGAGGATCATTTGATTAGAAATGTATTCAGTTTGTTTTTCCCGCATCTTGTTCACAAGTAGTCAACAAAACTCGATTATATGTCAGTTGGGATTCAAATTAACTCACCATGTTTAAAGTTTCTATTAGTATAGAGTTTGTAGAGATTACTGAATTTTTTATAGATTACATTATGGGTTGATCTTAGTGAACTAAATATGTGTTAATTTGTTAGAATATAATGTTATGTCTCGATCGGACCAAGGACGCGTAAAGCACATGCGAGCAGCCTAGAGTCTGATTGGCCCTGCTTTCCGCCCAGCCCTGCCTGCCTGTTAAGTCTAGAACACCAATCCGAACCTCTGCGATATGAATCATGTATTTCAAACATTCTCGGTTTATATACCAATCAAGCAGACCACATCGTACCATCAAAATGGAAAATAACATTTGTACAGGATTTGACCAAATGGGGTTGTGAATGTGGGAGGTAGTGACTAATAGACGACATAATTTACGAATGGTAAAACGTATAATAATGGTTCATAGGTGAAAATAAAGCTCATAATGAGCGGAATATGAATATGAATAGTTTAGTTAATTAACAATTAACGGCAAAAATATATGCACAGTATTGGTCCATAAATAGGTCCCGAAAAATTACCACTCATTGTTCTTATCGGGACACAACATATAACAAAATTGATAATGAACACATCATCATCATTTCGAAAGAGAATAAAATGTGTGGGACATTTTACAGACTGTTTTATTTTTTTGTTCCACTGGGTATATACTACTTTTATGAATGTAGCAGAAATAATATAGCGAGAGACTTTTCTAACTTAATGTCTACTTTATTTCATTTATATCATTTTTGTTATTAATTTTAGACGTTCGAATCTTGATTCATTTGATAGAACTATAAATCGTCAAAATTCTCATATTCATATCAGTACTAGATCTCCTTTAGGTTCACCAAAACGATCTCAATCACATGTATTTGTATCAAATGGTCGGTTAAATAAATCCGGTGTTTCTAAACCACCTCGATTTGTAAGCTACAGGAGTCCACTGGAATCTGTTGGGAAGTCACTTAAAGGTAAGCATTTTTAATTATAATCAATAATATCATTGAATGGTTCCATCACACATAATCGTTTCCACGTCAACTGTTACTGAAAATGTTTTGTCAAAGTTGTTAGTGAATTTTCAAATACAATGTAAAAGAAGTTTATATTTTAGATTATTTTAAATGTCTGTTGACACCCATCTGCACCACGGTATCCACATGTTGTTTCGTAAATTCCTATCTTCATCCCTAGTTAAGGACAAATTTGTCCCATAACTCCTGTCAAAGTATTGTCAGCATCTACAGGTGTTTATGTTACCGAATGAATTCAATTTACAAGAAAGATTTCTTTATCAAAATTCTATTGTTTCTCAAGTTGGTTGGAATGTCATTTTATGTATATTCCCTTCACTTTTCTGTTGGAATTAAAAGATGATATAATATTCAGTTTACTGTTTATGCATACTCAAAAGAAATTTCCTTTTTTTAGAGATAGTATTTAAGGGACAGGAGTGAAAATAAAGACTAAACAGCGAGACTATAATTTATGGACGAACTAATCAGATTTAGGATAAGAGGTCTCGGATTTTGTCGCGAAATTCATTTATCCATTTGCTTGGCTAAGTAGTGTTTTGGCATTTTAGCTGATTTCAGTTCGTGATGAGGACTCTAAATCTAATTCCTAACCCTAACCATCAACTGTAATTCACAATGTTAATACCATACACTGCTTTATAACCCTCCATTAGTTCTAGTTAGTAGGTGGACTTTCTCTAGGTCACTTCGGCGTCCTTCAGAGGTTGTCCATAAATTATAATTTCACCGGTGTACAAAATTTTAAAAAATATCATTCACATGTACATATATTGCATAGAATTTAGTTCGTGTATTATTTTGTTTTTGAAATAAATGATTTAAACAGTCCTAATTCATTCAAATTATTTCTCATTGTGAAATATGTTACGGCTTTTTTTTTGAAAGAAAAATAATGTAAATTTAAGTGGAGTTGAATAATGACTAGCAGTTGTATTCAGGACATAGGCTTCTGTTTCTATCTGACTAGTCCGTTCGGTGTGTCCGCCACATATCAGTGTTGTTGTTCACACCGGAGTTCCGATTCATTATGTTTTTGTTTCATAACACTCAATGTGTTATCCCCTGAGTCTAGATAGCTACTGGTTTATGTAACGGGGATGCATTTTGTTATTGATTTGTGTTTAAATTCTGGAATGGAAGTACATCCATCTGACTCGTTTAGATAGTACATATTAGATTTAATTGTTAACCGCTGTTCATGTTTACTTATATATTTATAACTTAATAACAGTATCATGGTATCACATACAGGATGTACCTAAACCAAAATAGATTGACCAAGTATCAGTCACGAATACAAACAATTGGAAGATTCGGGCACAAATAAATGAAATCACATTAATCTGAAATATCGTCTTTTTCTTTTATTATTATTGTTATATATACTGTTTTCAATATTGTCCTGTGAAAAATTATTCTTTAGCTAACCATAATCAATCAATGGACCATGATAAGCAGTCGACACGAAACATGACAAACAATATTTCATCTTCCTCTCTGTTATGTAATAGTTCATCAAAAGAAGTTAATAGTGATGATGTATTGAATAAACGAGGACGTCGAAAGTCGCGTGCACCTGCTCCACCAATCAAATTATTGGAGAATACTGCTGAAACTACAACGATGATTATGACTTCCACTACTGCTGTCACTACTGTTACTACTACTACTGCTACTAATACTAATACTACTACCACTACGCTTAAAGCTCCATTAGCAGTTTCCGAATGTGGTATGTTCTATCGTTATCAACTTAATCATATTAATTTATGGAGTTTTTTGGTTGGTTAATAAAAAGATGATACCGATTTCAGAAGAGAAACTGGTATAAAACATTCTATACTAGTGACATTGAACGATTTATCAGCTATTCAGAGCAAATCATAATTAGTTATAGAATGAATTATAATAAAAAGTAATTAGTTTCAACAGGTGAATAGTTTGGACACATGGTTAATGAATGTTTACATACTTATGTGTGTAGTAAGAGAAAATAAGTTTAGGTTTAAAAGTATTATGAGTAATAGTTGGGTTTAGGAGTTAAGATTAGGGCTTTCATCATGAACGGACATAAGCTATAATGTAAGAATGGTTTGTAGACATATGGATAACTGACGTTTGTGAAAAATATAAGGATCATTTACTTGATTAATTCGTCCGTAAATAAGCGTTCTACGTATAAAAAAACTCTTGGCTATGCCCTGAATTATATAGAGTACACTCAACGATCAATTACCCTTTCGGATAAAAAATCTGTACCAGGAACTGGTGTTTCTTGCAATTTGGCTTACACAGAACATCAGATTCATTATGTAGGGCAGCATAACAGTTACGTTTATTGACTTTAAGCATCTTAGAAACTAGATGTACTTAATTTTTACTCATTCTTTTCTAAGAAATAAGATTCAAGGTATTCGCACCTGGCTTTCGAATTTTGCACACAGACCAAAACGTACTATTCTAAAATCCGATAGGTTCATCAACATTGTATATTTTTACTAGAAACCTTACAGGAAGAAAGCCAACTGAGCAAAATAGGAGTAATAAAGAGAGTTGGAGATGGATGAATTAGTGTAACGATAATAATAATAACAACTCATTTTCCCATCAACTCCACCATCAGAAATAAATTTAGTATCAGGATGACAGGTTGTCGGTTAAGACAAAGTTATTTTTTGAATAATACATGAAAAAAAAGTTTATAAAAACTATGTTGTTTTGATGAGTTAGTGTAAAAAGTTTGGGGTTTCCTTACCATTAAATCAGTAAATCCAGTAACAACAAGGTGTATGACATCAGTATTATTAGCGGTTAGCGCGATTGAAGTGAACTCTGTGTCACATAAATAACAAACATCTTTCTTGGATAAAAATAGTTTAATAAATAGCATAACAAACAATAGGAATGACAAAGAAATGTAGTTATCATATGAAAAGAGATTACAAGGTTAGTAATATGAATGAATGCTTAAGAAAAATTATAGTGAGACACCTTGAGTTGTTTACTCTCGAATGAATGACAATTTCACAAACTACTGAATATAAGTCAGTAGTATAATGTAATATAGGAAAACGGACAAAAGGATAGAATTAACATTCGTAATCAGTTTAAACGACATGCGAAATATCGTTTGTATTATTCAATGTGATGTAAGAGGAATAGAATATTGAATTCTAAATGACCCATAATACTCTCTCTAATTTGCATTCTTTTACAAAGTTCGGAAACAGATAAAATAGATTATGTGATAAATATAGAAGTTGTGAAGACTTGACGTAAGATTCCCAATCACTTGTACTAAGTGAATGAGCAAAGCAATGAATGAAGGGATGATTTTAGTGTACATAAAAATAAGAATTAGTTTGACGAAGGCCATATAACAAAATAAATACTTTTCAAATAATAATGACGATAACAAAAAATAATAATATACCAAGATAGTTGGTTACTATCTATTTCTTGATACATAGATCAGGTTTGAGTTTCTTTATTGACACTGCCTAAGGAAACCGGAATGACACAAAGTTTTCTTGTCTGCTAGTAGTTCCGAAATATTGTGGAATGTTAATAGTATTCCTGGTATCAATAAAATGCTGAGGTATTGAACTGTTTAGAGCCGTTGCATCCCTCTCAGCCTCCAGTTCTTTGGAACGTACTTGAAAATGCACAACTGCATTTTTCAATTTACGTGTACATGACAAGGCACATACATTTTAGGAACAGAGAGAAAATTACATGTATTCATTCGACATTTTTAACTTGATCAATTTTTTTCATATTGATGAATACAAACGTTTTATAATTGTTCTCTTTTAAAGGCAAAGAGTTTGAGGATAATGACGATGATGAATGTCTAGAATCTGTCTATCAAGGTCGTGCACGTGCTGTAACAACATCTTTGCCAGCAAAATCTATGAGGTCAAATATTCCTTGTTTAACAACTTCGCAACATATTGTCTCTACTTCATTTCGCAATACAATTAATACTGTAAATGGAAGTAATACAGAGAAACCAGTCAAGCCACCACGAAAACTTAATAATAATACATCCTCTTCCACTGAAGCTCTGCATAAATCTGAAAAGAGTATATGTAGTCGATATTATTCTCCAACTTTAAAAAGTCTTCATCATCCTTCAACTTCACAACACAAGTTTCCTCATGATATCCCTTCTCAACATCGGGGTATTGTGAAAAATATGATAAGTAAATTTCAGCAGCCTTAAAATCTAGATTTTTGTTCCTCTCATTTGATTTGCTCTCTATCTTGTCATTTATATTTTTTAACTGCAAGAATCCATCGCTTCTTGCTGACTAACTGCCTAACTGATTCTATGCTTACCGGTTTCTACAGATTCTTTTTTATATAATTTACCAAATACTTCTATTCATTTAAGGTAACACTACTTATAACGAATAAGTAGTTAAAATTATTTAGTGAAATTAGTTTACTGTTTGTTTTTACATATGCATTTTTGACATAAAAACATTATTCGGATTTGCTTTTGTCAATAATTTTCTGCTTATTTTGATGAATAAAGAAGAGAGATTTTTGTCTCCTTTTCAAATGGATACATATTTATTATCTACTGTTCAATAAAATGTACTTTTTCTTTGGTGTTTCTAAGTGTTTTGTTGTGAATTTATTAGTTATTTATAATTTATGTTTTCCATTATATTTATTCAGTTTCATTTTCCTTTTCGTCCATTTATTATTCAGTTTATGAATCGAATTTTTTGGTTTTTTAGAAGTGGGCTAGGAGAGTTGGTTATCGTAATTGTTCTGTTTATGATTTCATTTCTACGTTGTTTTTTTTGTTTTTGAAGTCACAGTTTAGGATTTTCACTATTTTTTTTTCTGAATGACTTCTGGAAGAGTTCATGATATGTTTCCATATAGGATTTAAAAGAAATTTTGTTTATCTATGTGATATTTTATTTATTGATGTAGTCATAATATGTTTTGAGAATAAAATATTCCTGAACACTGATTGATAAGATCATTATCACCACCACCATCATCATCATGATCATTATGTCACTTACAGATAAATAAAATAGGATTATACCCCTTCATTTACTTTCGTTAATTTACGAAAGATTTCCTGTACTCTAACGCTTTTTTTTCAATATTTAATAAAGAGTATTTGTTAGCTTATTATAAAACGTATTTATATTGTTGTATCTGGGATAATATTTTAACTTACACATGATTTATTAGTTATAGTAATGAGTACATGAGTCTGAATGCGGTGAATGATTTCGATTATTATTCAGTGTTGTATAAAATTTTATTTTTGCTTTTCATTATGAATCTAGCATAAGGCTTTGGATATTCTACATATTATGGCTGAGTCAATGAAAAACAATGTAACTGTGAACCAAATAATTACGATGAACCATTTCACCGGCTCCTAAATAATTAGGTGTTAACATATGTGACTGATACTGGATATAGATTAGAATCATATGAAAAACTTCAATCATCTCCTTAATATGAAGATGCCTTGAATCGCATAACACCTAGATTTGAAGATTCCGGTTGATTCCGTCCATTCACCTAACAAAAGAAGAATTTGTTCATATTCTTATACTTCTCAAGATCTAAGGAAAATATCATCTAAATAAACACGAATGCAAATGATCTTTAACTCTAGGAAGAAAAGAAGCTCTCAGTTTTCATTTAAAACGAAAACTGATTGATAAAGATTGGTTAGTTGTTCTTGTGTGGAGATAAAGATCTTTGTATAAGAATTCAATGCTCTGGTACGTCCAAGAGTGGGGAGAGCCAGCTCTCCCTCTATAAATGCTCTCACATGGCCATACGTATACAGCCACTCCCAGGGAAGTCATGCTCGCTGCCTTCTTGCAGCACTACTATTGTTTACGAAATTGAGAGTACGAAAAGTGAATGTCCGGAACTTTAACCGGGTTGACGGATACTGGCGATCCACCTAGGTGAGTTGGAAAACCCTGATTCCAGAACAATGGTATACTTGAGCTCCGGTATCCTGACGGAACAACTGTTGTATGAACCAATTGTTGGTCATCGCTACCATGGGACTGCATCTCCTTACATTGCTCCATTGCCTTTTGGACCAAACCTTTAAGTCAAACGCTCCGGGTGTGGCCTCTTAAGAAAACCGCCTACTTCGGTTTGGACACCCGGGCAGTCTTCTAGCCCTCTCGCAAATCGAATGATTTATGTGACACATATCTATTTGGTTCCTCCTTGTACCAATGTTTTTATATTTAAATACATAAAATAATCAAAATGGTATAATTGAATATCACAGCACTTTCAAATTAAACTGTTGGTACTTTAACACGAAATCTACCAATGATCTACAACTGTTCATTAAATTATAATGCGCTTGTAGGTGTCATTACTAAGATTTGACTTAATAATTCCAAATAAATTGAGTATCGGATAGGTTGTTATTTAATCAAAGTAATATATTTGTACTGTCTTAAAAAGTAGGATAATTTAGCGTTAAAATGTTTTTGACGTTTCATCACTTAATATTAGCCACTTCTTCAAAGAATAAAAAATCCCTAAGGAATTGGCTAACACTGAGTCACGGAACAAATATATGATCTATTCAGTAGTTGAGATCATAATTCAATTTAAGCTAGACCAACATGGAAAACCTCAAAGCACTGGACGGTCGTCTCGTCCTACTGTAGGACTCCTCAGCATAGTGGTCTAGCATCAATTGACTCATGATCTCAACTACTGAAATCACTAAAATCTCCACGAAACTCTTTCTGACACTTATTAACAAATGCTCACTAGTGACTGATGTATATCCTGGAGTTCTAGTGAGAAGTAGTAATCAGTGGGGTTAAGCCGGGTCTGTTGTGAGTTAGTAACTCACTGATTATAATGGTGGGTGTGTCACTGGATTTGGTGGATCATTTGAAATCAGACACTAACACCATTGGATACCGTCTCGATGGTCTAGTGGTTAAGTGCTCGCGCGCGAGACCAGTAGGTCATGGGTTCGAATCTCGAGGGGTGAGGTCGTGGGTACGCACTACTGAGGAGTACCATGATAGGACGAGACAGCCATCCAGTGCTTCTACGTTTTCCATGGTTATCTAGCTTCAATTGATTCATGATCTCAACTACTGAATTTACTAAAAATCTCCACAAAACCCTCTCTGATATAATCTTTTTAATTATACAGGACACAACTGAATTAACATTAATAAACGATTGTTTCATTATATCTGTAATTCTATCTAACTAATCCCTATTCAGTTTTATCGATCAATACAATAATCATCTTATTTTGAAAATGTAGTGGATCTGTTTTGTTTCTTTTCTTCATGATTTCTTTTCTCTTTTTTTTTCTGTCAATATAAATGAAATTATTATGTAACATGATAAGATTTCTTTTTTGTTTTTTTTCTGTTACTTTTGTAATAATTTCTGATACAAAACACTTCATTTGAACAAGTAATGAACAGGAAATGAATAAAAATTAGTTTAACCAATAATGTTTTAAAACAACAACAACGAAAAAAGAACGATTTTCGATGATACTTGTCAAAAGAATGGAGATCTATTGAAGATTGTGGTAATTCTAATAGTTGAATTCATAAGTTGTGTTTGTTTGTTTTTTTGGATGGAGTTTTGTTCTTTGAGCTGGATGATTTGGTCGTGGAGCTTTCATCGTTCTTCTGAATGATATTATCAGCATAAACTTCAGATAGATGATGTCATTCAAAAGAACAATGAAAGCTCCACGACCAAATCATCCAGCTCAAAGAACAAAACTCCATCAAAAGTATCCACCTGATCTACAAATCCTCCTCCTCCTCATCATCATCTCAAAGTCATATGAGTTGTGTGTCTTGATGATTTTAGTATTAAAGTTATGGTGAACTAATGATAACCAACATTAGGAGATTGATTGATAGATTTTCATATTCAAACTTGTATACGAATATTTAAGCAGGAAATTGGATTTTTAAAACAATCTAAACTACTGAAATTAAGTAGACTGAAACTTCTTACCGAACAGTCTAGTTCGAGCTACTTCAATTAACAGAAATTCACTGTTTGTACCAGACAAATCATTCAATTACCTTGTTAATAATCTAACTAAAAATTTCGCATCAAAAGAACTACATCCACACTATCGACAAACTTCATATTCAACATTATCAACATAACTGGATGATTTATGTATATAAAATGAAAGGTGAGACTATAATCTATGGACGATGTTTAAGCGAAGCTACAACGACCTTGAGAATGTCCACCTACTAACTAAGATTAAATGACGGTTGTAAACCAGTACGAGGAATTAGAATTATGATTTACAGTTGATCGTCAAAGTTAGGAACTAGATTTAGGGTTTTCATCACTAACTGATATAAATTAAAATGCCAAAACGCTATTCAGCCAAATAAATGGATTTCGCTCCCAAGACCTTATATCTGATTGGTTCGTTCATACATTATGGTCTCTCCCAATGAATTTATGAATCAGGCGTTTATATTCGGTAATTTAATATTTAATTGTTTTTTCTAAAGAAGTGCTGACCAAACTGCCTAGAGAAATTTTGGAGTTTATTTTTAATGGCTGATATTCTTACCAACATGACACAAACATCATACCCGTTGCATAACTGAGTGGCCATATAGACTTGTTAGCTCAGTGGAAGACACACCAACACGAGTTCATTTTCATCCATGTGAAGAAACCTTAAAGGAACAAAATGCGCATTCTGGTTTGTGCTGTTGGCCACAGTCTACCTCTTTCATAACACTAATGACAAAATAACTGTATCGAGACAATCCAAACAGGATTCACATTTACCAGCTATGACTGATCATAAATTAATTCAAACGCTTACTGATCAAATTAACATTACGTCAAGTTCCATGTTAAACTGACTATACATGGTTTCATGAAATAGTTTCTTTTACAATTAATACATTCAGAAAATGAAGTTCTCATAAACTATCGAACAATTTGAGTGTATCAATATGGGGTTGTGGAGATTCTTAAATTTTTGATTCACATCACGAATCGATCAATGCTAGATCACCATTAAAAACCTGGAACCACTGGATGGTCGTTTCGTCCTAGTATGGGACTTCTCAGTAGTGCAGGTACACGATCCCGCGCATAGTAGTGGAATCCAGCACGCGCGTTTCGTCCTATTTGGGACTCGTCAGTTGGATGTACCTGCATCTCCGAGTTGATGTTTACTCTGGGACTTGAACCTAGTACCGTTCGCTCCGAACACCATCACGTTATCCACTTAGCCACTGATTCATTATGTCAGGAAATCGTTCCGGATTTCACTGCTATCTATCACACATCTTTGCTTTTGATGCTTGTGAATTAAGGCAATATCGAGACAATACGCACAGTATGCACATATGCCAATAAGGGAGTGATAAATTGCAGTATTAAACATCAATAAGAAGATTCAGGTGAACAATACCAAGTGAATTTCTTCGAAATATATTTTCCATTAAAATAAATCCATGAATTAGATAAGTTTTCAGTTTTGTTTATCGCCTGAAGAAGTAAATGTCAGAAATTCAATTTCTACTCATTGGGATTTTCCAAATGAAAAGAGAAGGAAACTGAAAGTAATCAAGATAATGACAGGAATGAAAGAACCATGAAATTTGTAAGAGACAATTCAAAGATGTGCAACTGATGTATTAGTGATATGATGGAAAGAAAAGTCACTTTTCGATTGATTTACTCATTATGAGTTTTGTTCAATTGTACTTCCGTGTTGATTCAATGTAATGATTACACAATGTAGTATTTGTTTTGTTTTCACGTATGATATTTTATTCTGTATAATATACGATATTCTTGTATCCGATTGACATGAACTATGCTCAGTCTGTGATTTGTTATAACTCTAAGTATGTTTCATATATGTGATTTCATCCCAATTATAAATCAAAATGGGTGTACAATCACTATATAAATGAGTGTATTTTCTACTAGAGGTGCCGTCGTCGTCGTGTTTTAGGGTTAATAAATCATCACTTATATTAGTCTTTGTGTCCTTACTTTCGCGTCGTGCGAATTGCAGAGGTCCCTTGTTCCGAGTGTAAGTGATAAGCGTTTTCGACATAACAATTAGCGACGACCAGATACAAAAAGTAGCATTAAAAGAGCCAAGACAACAAGCATTCAAACGACAAGTTATAACAATTCGATGTATGATTTTTACATTATACTAGACCACTGTATGATTGTCCGTTTAACAATAAATTGATCTTCCTACCCAAGTGTTCCTTCACTATAATACTAACTTTTTAATGTATCAAATTCTTTATATATGAAACAGTATTATTAATCTGCCTAAAGACGTATATATTCATATAATGGGATACAACACAATAAAAATGAGATTATGACGGGATAGGGAAAGGGAAGTGAGTGCAATATACTAAATAAACAAAAATGAGTAGAAATGAGTGTGTGAAAGCACTATATCTGGGACTCAAACGAAGTAGTCATGAAGGGTTAGTGGATGCCAGTCCTGTACAGCTTTCTTTTATACCATGACACCATGTTATACACTGGTTACCTCTCAGTTTTTTTCAATCAGTCCCAGCGTCATCAAATAGTGGAATTCACTGGGACGACATTCATAGTAAATGTTCAGGCCACTGAAGTCGTTTTTTCAACAAAGTGCAAAGTGAACTATCGTCACTTCGTTCGAACACGCGTTGTCGAACTTCCATACAGCTAATGTGGTGTTGCCATTAAATATTGGCAACCCTTCGTAGATAACGATAATCAATCACAGACAGTCTCTTAACATCTTCAACTTGGAGAGGCCAAGTTTCACAAGCGTGGAGCAAATCTACTACCATCAACGCGTTGTACATCCAACCTTCTACAGCCAGACTAACATCATGAAGGCGCAAAAAATGACCCTAATTAGCATAAGCCACCATAGTTTTCACTATATTTAAATTGATCTCATCACTCTCACTTTGATAACCTTGATCTGACTTTCTATTATGATAAGACTATCAAGTGATATGATTTCTGAAATGATTGAAATCGCCGAAGTGTTATATTGTTGAAATCACTAATATCCAAACCTCAATCAAACGGACTTAAGAGTACAAAAAGATTAAGCTATTACAAGGGTATACTAATCAGTATTCTATTCAAGGTAAATAGTTTGAGTTAGTTATCTGGGAACATTTTTATTTTACTTATTTTAACACATAGATATTGGTACAAGGAGGCAACAAATACATATACGCCACATAAATCTCATTCGATATGTGTGAGGGCTGTGATACTGCCCGGGTGCCCTAACCGGAGGAGGTGATTTTCTTGGGGGGCCACACTCGGAGCGTTCGACCTAAAAGTTTGATCCACAAGGCAGTGGAGCATCGTGAGGAGATGCAGTCCCATGGTAGCCGGTGACCAACGATTGGTTCAAACACCATTTGTTCCCGCAGGATACTGGAGCTCATATGCACCATTGGTTTGGGATCCGGTTAAAGCTCCGGACATTCGCTTTTCGTCCTCTCATTTTCGTAAACAACAGTAATGCCACGAGAAGGCAGTGAGTAGGACTTCCCTGGCAAAGGCTATATACAAGTGATTGATCAAGGGTAATAATGATAGATAAACAGAAACTAGTGTTTATTTTTCTTCGTCTAATTGTATCGCATTGATTTTATCAACCTTTTCAGTTTTCATCATGTACCAACGCTATTGGGAGTATCATTGAAACTGAAGAGCTATAAACAGCTGTCTTGTTAATAATGAACTTAACTGTTTCTCACTCGAACTTCAGGAAATCCGTCTTGAA